CTACCAAATGTGCACATGGGTGTTGACCGATTGGTTCCACTTTAATGGTGAGTACACGTGGTGTTTCTCTTTCTAGTCTCGTGAAACTTCACTTAGAAGTTGATCCCCAGTTCCATCCAGGTTGTTGAAAACATTAGATATAAACACCATACTCAACATTTGAAGCAAAATGTGAATGAAGTGGAGAGAAAACCAAACCAAGGGTCCAATTGTATAAAGAAATGGACACAATTTTATGAATTGAATAAAATTCACAGCAATATGCGGGTATATAACATGCCCTTATCTTTCTCACAATATCTAATAAGGATCAATAAGACATGAAATGAAAAACAGAAGTTGTAAGATTATAAGTAAAATCCATTCATTCTATAAGAAAAATGACATGATCAAATGACTGTTGATAAGTATTTAAAATACCCAACAAAATTTTACTTCATTTCAATAACGATATACATGAGGGTTATACATTGGTTCTATGATATTAAAATAGTGAGATATGTTTTGGAGAAATGTTTATTAAAATAACAAAATGAAGGGTGGCATTCTTTCCTTCTTTGGCATGGCATGCCACTCTCTTGTTCCTTTTATACTTCAATGTTTTATGAATTCAAAAACAAAAGTATTTTAATAGGTCACATTCTATGATAAGTTTTATTAGAAAACTGAAATACTTTATTAGGTAACTTTATTAGAAAATGAAAAGCATTTATTAGAGAACTAAGAAAACTCTTAGGTAACTCCTAGAAGCAAAGAAAAATTACAAACTATATCAAAGTTAATGAAAAAGAATATCTCTTTTAACAAAATATACATACTAGCAGGAGGGTGGGTCAATAGAGGGAGGGTTCATTAGGGAACCACACCTATGTAGCATATCGCAAGTACAAGTTGGATCTATCAGGTGTAGAATACAAATGTCTTAACATTGTAATTGGGTAAATGACGTGAAGGCTATGTTAATTAGTAGGATGTAAGCACTCCAATTTGTATAAATAATCAATATATTGAATCCCATTAGTGGCATAAATGTATTCATGATCTATGTACAAATGACTTAATAATAAAAAAACATACTCAATAAAATATGTGCTCAGTATGAAAAATAAACTAAGTACTCATCTTAGGAAATTAGACAAAGAACATCAGAAGAATCTAGGAAAACAGATTTTAATAACAATGAAAACTGGAATCATTAAACTAGAACACAAAAGTTACAAGGGTTATGTAAATTCAAAATTCGATTTTTCTTTGAAGTGGCCAAGAAAACCCCCACAAAGCAAAAAGTATGGAAAATATATAGAAAAAGAATATATAAGATTATAAATAAGAAATCAGAAATAGCTGCAGGGTCAAGAAAGATTGAAAGAAGCATAGTAGAATATTGCTTGTGACTCTGTACCAATGAAAAAAGAAAACCTCGAGGAAGGGAAAGAGTTTTTATAAAAGTTTAAATTAAAAAAAAAATACACAAGAGGAAGGAGAAACTAGAATAAGCCATATAAATATCACAAAGCTGTTTCTATTATCAAAAAGCACCAGAACAGATGGATGTATAGCTGATAGTGTTAGACTTGAAAGATTTGATAATTGCAAAATTATTTAAACTGTTTCAATCAGAAAAATACAAAGAACTCAGAATCATGACTTAAAAATGAAAAATTCAATATCCTTTAAAAAACATTTTAATAAAAAGACAGTGATTCTATCTCTTTTTTAAGGGTAAATGCAAAAAATAATCCTACATAAAATATTAGTAAATAACATCTAGTAGTATACCAAAGGATCAGCACATGCAAAACAAAAGTGGAATTTTTAGAAATATAAAAGTAGTCTGCATAAATATGAGCATGGGGTTAGGTTACTAGATATATGATAAATATAGGAAAATAAATTTTATCTATTTAAAGCAGAGAAAAGTCAAAACAGAAAAAATATTTTATTCATACTTGAAAAAATAACTGAGGTTGATTATTTTTTTTCGCAAAATGTACATCAACTTTGTAGTTTTATTTTATTCGGAATTTTGTTGATTTTTTTTTTTTTTGACCATTTGAGCAGGGATTATGTATGCCAGGCTTTAGAGTCAGGGAGGCTTTTGGGTCCCTTATCAGGCGGACACCTTGATAAGGTTTTTTATTGTCTCTTCAGATGTAAAACATATAAGAGTAATCATTTGTACCTCAGTTTGTACTTTAAGGAGAGATAAGGGATATCATGTTTTTAAGTGACTATAGAAATGCCTAACACTATGGTTATGGTAGTATAGGCTTGCTCTCCATATCATGTTATTCACTACATGAGAAATTATATTTGTTCATTTATTTATTCATCAGAATACTAGATTCTAAAAAGATTTCAACTTTTTAGAATATGAATACCATGTCTCATATAGGAATTAATTTGTATATTTTCTTTGTAAAAATATTTTAATGGAGAATTTTTTTAAAAAATGATTTGCTCATTGCATTTAGTCAATGTTAAAGCATAAAACTCTGAGGATATTATAAATTTAACCTTTACCATTTCAGCAAACTAATGATGCACAGACCATCATAGTGGAATAGAATTTGATGAAACTTTGTTCCATTTTTTATATAAAGATGAATCTTTAACTTAAGAAATAACACTAAGCATGTGATAAAAGAATATCATTGATGTTTAATGAGCTGCTGTAAATTGGCCTGATGAGAAGGAACCTCCTTAGAAACTGGAATGCTCTCTAATCATTTCCAGTATTATTTTGAATAATGTTCATGAGGTCCTATGGAGTTAGGCTCTGGTGCATTCCATAGCTAAGCCATTTTAAATTATGTCAAAAGCCAAACAATTAGATTCTTATATATTTTAAATTTTAAAATTTCAATTTTATACTTTGAAAAAAGTAATCAATTTTCTACGTCTTTCTATACTAATTCATTATAAAAGGAATCACTTTAATGTGACTCACAATAGTTAATTCCCTTGGTGCATTTAAAATCAGGGAACCTGGAGGTTTAGATTTAAAATCAGGGGTTTAGAGCTAAAAGTGATTCCAAAAATAAACCAACACTCATAAACGAAGTAACTTCTGAAAGTTGAGCCTGTGCCTTTATTTTTTTTGCCATACTGTATACTTTCCTATACTAGTTATGTAATGCAGCATTTTATGTATAGATTTCTCAAAAGGGTCAAAGTATAAAATTTCATTGTACCCTTTTTACATCTGTCAAAAGAATATCATTGAGAACCTCCTTAACTCACCGTTTATTCATGAGCTTCTCAGATGAATACATTTGGATGACTTCCATGGTGACACTACAATGTTACTATAAGTTGTGCATGTATTTTTTTCAAAGGATTGAAATTGTAAGAAAGGTAAAGGTGAATGATGCAAACTGTTAAGCCTGTTGGAGCTTTGATTAAGTTTGTATAAGATATGATTAACTTCTTTCCAAGTATTTTTTGCCATTTTTACTTATTTAGCTATTTTAATTTTTGGATCATATTTTTCTTGCTCAGAGACATGATTCAGTTTATCCATCTTTAAAGGAAGATTTTGGAGTGAATGAGTGACCTGCAATATTTAAAACCTCTGTAACTTTTCTTATCAAAGAAAAAATGTATATGTATATATACATATCCATAACAGGATTTGAACATAAGTAACTAGGTCATAGCTTAGCAATTTACCTTTATCACATAAATTAGTAATTAATTGGAAGACTATAGAAACTTTTATTGTGTTTTATATATATGGTTTTATCCCTTAATGTAAATTTTTCTTAAGTTGCTATGTTTTAACAATAGATGTGTATGCCTAAAGTAGTTATTATATTGGAAGTACTTCTTCAAATTTAGGCCATATGGTAGATTTGGGGCCACTTTGTTCGCTAGTTCTTAAATATGAGTTTAAATGACAAGTAGGCAGTCTGGAGTTAAATTAATTTCTGTTTGAAGATTATGCTCAATATTTTAATGTCTGCCACCAGATGGGAGTGATGCTCTTTCTGTTCTGTGGCCAGCTGTGTTGGCTGTGTTGTGAAACTTGAGTGATGTACAGAGCCCTTCTAACAAGAGAAAGAAAAAAGAAAAATCTCCTAGATCCCAGAGTTGGTTTATCTTAGTTAAAGTGTGGAGTTATGTTATACATAATACATTTAATGGTTAAATATGCATATTTAACCATAAAAAACTTTACAAAATCAGTACAAAAAACACAAAACCAAAAGAATCCACATCCACATTAATTTGGTGGATGATGATGTTTCACTGGAAGTAAATCATTGCACGTGGCATAGAGGTGGTGGTACCTATTCTAGCTTCATGTCTTCTGAGTTTGGCAAACACAGGCCACCCTGTGCTGTGTGGTGAGTCACTTCTCTTCCCACCATCAGGACCAACTGCTCAAATCACAGCTATTCAGAGCACCATTGTATTGGTTCACTTTGTTTAACATAAATATACTCACTGAGAACTCGCAGCATCTGCCTTCTGGGCAATGAAAATTGAGTAGTCAGACATTATGAGGGCGTTAGAATACAAGCTAACTGTATTAACAATGCCACAACTAACTTGTCTTTCATCAAAATATTTACATTCCGTAATTTCTAGTTCAAACACAGTGATTATTTTATGCATGCTAGTAAGAGAAATCCCATTTAATAGAAGATCAAATAAAAGAGAAGGCTTAGACACTGCGAATGAGTGTGTTCTATGTACTATTCATACTATTAAATATTGTTTTTAATATAAAAAGAGGTTCTTGGGTTGCCCCCCCACCCCCCGCCGACACTTTACTAAGGCCGAGCTCACTAATCTTAGTTTCTTTCACAGGTAATGCTTTGGTGCTTGCCTACAGGGATGGCCTAAAGATGCTGAGCAAAATTTTCTTTGTGTGTCTGTGTAATTAAAGTTTATTGGAACACAAAATACTTTCTCTGTCCATAACATGGCTGTTAGCAGTAGGAGCAGTATGTCCTCGCCAAGGGGAACTGATCTTTTCAGACTTTTTTTTTTAATGTCACATAGGTAATATGCCTGTGTCATAACAAAGTTTGAGAAAGGCACATCTCACACATGAAATAGATACCCAGTCAGCATGCTCATGAACTTCAAAGACTTATCCCCCCATTTCCCTTACTCTGGGAATATATACATGTGCCTGGTAGCTAGAGCCCCTCTATCAGAATCTCTCATAATGGCTTTCCAGGGAAAGGAAGAAGAAAGAGGGTGAAGACCCGGGATTGTTTTCAGCGGGCCAGGCCATTGTGCTGTACCTCACAGAGGCCAGGGTCTCCTGGACAGCTCTACTGCAGATCTCCAGGGAGGCCCTTCTCCTTACCCTGTCTGCTGAAGGAATAGGGCAGTTTGACTCTCACAGGAAGCACCAGAATAAGTCATTCAATGACTCTCTTGGTCCACATTGAAGAAATATAGCTTTCTATAACATTTTTGGTGGCTATAGGTTAAGTATATGGTCACCTTTTACTCAAGCAGGGACTGTCCACAGCCAGCACTCACATCAGGCTCTCTAAAGATTCCTTTGCCCAGGGCCTCAGCTGCTCCCTTAGCTTGAGGCTCAGAGAGTAGGGAGGAGTCCTGGTCATTTTGAAGCAGTGTGACCACCTCCAGGTGGGTGAACTGCACAGCAACATCCAGGGAAATATTGCCCCAAATGTGCTTGACAAAAAGATTTGCTTTGTAAGTCTCGATCAGGAATTTAACAACTTCAGTTTGTCCTTGGGCTCCAGCAGCAAGCAGCATTGTGTGGGAGTCATAGTCTTTCTGTCCCATCTCCATTGCTGGTGAGGCAAATCTTAAAAGAGCTGAGACATCTCCACTCTAGGCAGCAAATAGTAGGTTTACTCCACTTCTCCCACTTCACACTTTGGGTCTGCCATCTGAACACAGTGCCACAGTTGTCACAGTTGTAGAAATTGAAGAGAGATGCCTAATTACTTTTATTAGAGTCTTGTTTTTGCCCTTACTTCCCTGGTCTTAGGAGGAGCTTCTTTTCATGAATAGACAGCTGACCACAGGTAATCTGGAGTCTCTGGAGAGAAAACGGGGAGCAGTGCTAATGTTCCTTGAGTGAGTACTAAGTGTTTGATGCTCTCCTAGTTCTTGATATTTCTAGGAGTTTTCCTTTGCTCCTTGTGGCAACTTGCTACAGTCAGTGTTATTTTCTTCATCTTTTCAGATGACAAAAGAGAGACTTAGATCACTTAACAAAAGGTCTAAGGTGAGTTAGACTGAGTAGATCCCTCCTACAGAAAACATGGGCTGGAAATACTGAAATGGTCCATCAACCACAGAGAATGTGTAGAGTAAAAAGAAAAGATAGGGAATAAATGGAAGTGCTGGGAGAAGAACTACCCACATTAAAGAGAGAGAAATGGGTACAAGCAGAAGAGAGCACAGCACACATTTTTACAGTAAGGATTTAGTACCTTTTCTTGTTTACATCACTTAACTCTTCCATAAGTGCTGTTGGCTGACTTGCACACAGGCTTAAACAAATTCCTTCATATCCCAATGAATAAGATAAGCTAAAAAAAGTGTTTTTCATATGAAATGGTTAATGCATATGAATTCCTACATTTAACAATATCTCTTTCTTTTATTCCATTTAGCAATGAATTCAAGCTTTAAGAGTACTTTCCCTCCATGTCAGTAAATACCCAACAACTATTTTCAATGGGAAAAATGGATTTCAAACTATATTTAAAAATGAAAGTAATGTCAGAGAAGAATAGTGATAATATTCTTTCTTCGTGCTTTAAATAGGACTATTAGTGAAATCTCATACATGCTAATTCAAGAATTTCAAGGGACAGCCTTTGAGTGGTTAGCTAACACAATTGCTTCTAACTATTTTGGACAATATAGAAACATTATCTGAACTGGAAACCCAAACATCCATTACGCTAAGTGTGAAAAGTGCCTACCAAGTGACAGAATTGCATTTACTCAGGAAGCCCTCACCTAGCAAACTAATTAAAGCTTGTCAGAGACCCGAGATAAGGACTGGAGCATGTCAGCACACCTGTTCCTCCGCTTCTTGTCATCTGATTGAAAGTACAAAAGGTAAGCCTTGTTTTCTCATATTAAGGAGGGAAGATCCTCAAAAGCAATAGGAAATCTAACCAGCTGTTTCTCTTTCATTTTGAAAACAAAACTCTCAGTACTTCTTGTCATATGGATATCCTGGCTTTGGTGGTACCATCACTGTGGGGTTATTTCCCACCCTACAGCCTGGACCTTTCTTTCTCACTCTTTGCTTTAATTTGTTTACCTCCCTAGCCTTTAGCTGTTCGTGTTGTTCAGAACTTGGACGTGGTGCTCTTCTTTTCTTTCTTCTGCATTTTCTCAAGGGTGTTCTACCCATTTCTGTTGCTTCTGGCATCATCAGAATCCTTACAGCACTCAAATTGATATCTTCAGCTCACACTTTTTCAGTGAGCCCTATTCACACATGCAAGAATTCTTATTACTAGCTCCTCTTTTCTCAGATCTGCCAACCTCTCTCAAAGTCCTCTACTGAATTCCTCATTCCAAACGCAAGCCCTCTCTCTTACTCTGACCAACAGAGTCATCTTCCAAATAATCCACCACTCCCCCTGTTATTTACTGCCTACAAAGCAACCAGAGTGATCACTGAAGATGATGTATAATCTAATCAGATTGTTCCCCTGCTTAATAACTTGCCATTGTTTTTATTGCATTTTAGGCTAAAACTAAAGCTCCTAACCATGTCCTGATGTCTACCTTGCCACAGTCATCTAGTGCTTGTGACCCTTCAATCGCCATGTTCAAGCCAAAGAGCCCTTCTATCTGTTTCTCGCACTTAACTGAATTCTTTCTCACCTCAGGACCTTTGCTCATGCTGATAGCTCTGCATGGGCTGCCCCCATTCTACTCTCAGGATTGACTACATCTCTCTCCTCCTTGTATTATTCTCATGATGTCACAGAGATCCCTCTACTGATTACCTTTTTTATTTAAAAGTACATGCTTCCTGCCCAACTTTCTCATGTGCTTCATCTGATTCTTTCAGAGCACTTATAACCATTTTTTGTTTGTTTGGTTTTTTTGTCTTGTTTTTTGTTGAGACAGAGTCCTACCCTGTGCCCTGAGCAGAGTGCAGTGGCATCACAGCTCACTGCAAACTCAGACTTGGGCTGTGGGCATCCTGCTGCCTCAGCCTTGTGAAGCTGCTGTGATTACAGGTGCTCACCACAGTGCCTGGCTGGGTTTTTCATTTTTTTCAGGAGTGAGAGTCTCACTTTCTCTCAGACAAGTCTCAAACTCCTGAGCTCAAGCAATCCTCCCACCTCAGCTTCCCACAGTGCTGAGATTTACAGGGGTGAGCCACTGCACTCAGCACTTATGACCGTTTGTAATTCTCTTATGTGTTTGTGTGTGCATAGTAATATTTTCTCTGAGTCCTCCACTAGGTGGAACGCCCCATGAGAATAAAGGTGATGCCAGTTTAATTCACATGTTAATTTTCAGTACCTTGGACATGGAACATGTTCTGAGTGATTAAATAAGCTCTTCTTCTTCTTCTTCTTCTTTGTTATTATTGGGGATTCATTGAGAGTGTAGAGAACTGAGTTACACTGATTGCATTTGTTAGATAAATAAACTCTTCTTAAAAAATGCAACTTGTCTATTTTCTTTTTTGTCTGCATCGTTCTTCTAAAGTCAGTTAATAGTAAAAAGTAACTATATGTTGCAGTGTTTGTTTTATGAAGATGTTGACATTGTAACAATTGTTTGTCACGGGATTTAAAGGAAAATATCCATTAGCTTTAAACAGCATGCATCAATGTTTTAATGAGTAGTTATAAAACTAAACAATGATGTGTTTTTATATGTTAAAATATGTAATATTTTATCTTTATCATAAAAGGCATAGAATACATATATTGCATTATAGTGCATATGTATAGATGTGTATGTACACTTAGAGAAAATGAATGATTCTTTTCACATTACATATGAATAATCTTTATAATTTCTACAAAGAAATTGTGTTTGACCTTATGTTTGATGAAACCTTCCTTCTCAATTATCATTCTTCAAAGGCATTTGTGGGCCTTAAATTCAATGTTGGATAAAGCTGTCTTCATTATAGTTTCCCAAACCATTATGAACTCCCTCTAATTCACACTGGCATTTGGAACACAGATATTGCACAGAGCCTTCTTTATTTTTGTGCTGCTTATTTGATTATTCAAATAAATCTCCCCTTGACTACCTCTTGACCATTGCTGCCATATTTAACAAAGAAAAATTCAAGACAGCTAGCTACATTTGGATTTCAGATAAACAACAAATCATTGTGTAGCCTAATCCCATGCACTATTTGTGGTATACTTATACAAAAAAAAAAAAAAAGTTATTATAGTCTCAGGTCTTACATCAGAATTTACTCATTGCAAATGTATAAATTCTAGATAATACTCAATATAGTATCTCAAGTGATTACATTAGCAATGTCAGAAAGAATAAGCAGAAATTGCAATGTTGTTTCTCTAGAGAAATTTTTGGCCACTTCTCTTTAAATTATGTTCAGCTTACTCTACGAGACCTTGTCTTCTTTATCTTTCCTTTTGCTCTCTTTCTGGTCACTCCTGCTTTGATTTCTACTGTCAATCCGGAAAGAACTTCTTCAATCTCTAGGTTTCTGTGGTCTCTCATTTCCCTCGTGCTTGGAGATCCTCTCTTCTTTCACTTCCTTGCTGTTGGCTCCTCCTTGTGAAGATGCTGCACAGAGACCTGCGCAGCTGGGCGTGGTCTCCACTCTGCTCCCAGAGCCGCACTTCCTCTGCCATCTTCTCACAGCACTTCAATTCCTGGTTTTAAATGTGCGTGTGTTTTAGTACGCATACATGTTTCTGTGTGTTGTGTTTCCCACCCAGTGACCATAAATTCCATTCTCTGAATATCCCTGTATTAGTATGGCTTGTGGCTGTGACTTAGTAACTTTCTGTTGAATGACTAGAATAGTGATGATCTCTTTGCTGACACAATCAGTGGCCTCTGAGAAATGGGTCTCTTACTTTCTCTCTCTCTCTCTCTTCACTAAGCAAGACTAAAAGCTAAGATACAGTTGT